TCTGGCTACTTGGAAGGCTGAGGCGGAAGGATCGCCGGAGCCCAGCAGGCGAGACTGCGGTGGCCGGGAGCGGCCACTGCACTCCAGTCTGGGCGACAGAGTGAGACTCCAACTCAAAAATAAAAAAATTAGTAGGCATAGTGGCACGTTACTTGGAAGGCTGAGGTGAAAGTATTGTTGGAGCCCAGCAGGTTGAGGCTGCGGTGGCCAGGAGCATGCCACTGCACTCCAGCCTGGGCGACAGTGTGAGACCCAAACTCAAAGTGTGGCCCTGGACCCCCCATCTGGGTTCACTCTTGGCTGTGTGACCTCAAGCCAGTGACTTTAGCCTTCTGTGGCTCAGTTTCCTCATCTATAAAATAGAAAAGAAGCCGGGTTCGGTGGCTTAGCCTGTAATCCCGCGCCTTTGGGAGGCTGAGGTGAGTGGATTGCCTGAGCCTGCGGGCTGGAGACCTGGCTGGGCAGTGAGACCTCATCTCTACAATAAATAAAAAAATCAGCCGGGCGTGGTAGCGCATGCCTGTAATTCCGGCTACTCGGAAGGATGAGGTGGAAGGATCGCCAGAGCCCAGCAGGTCGAGGTTGCGGTGACGGGGAGTGGCCACTGCACTCCAGGTTGGGCAACAGAGTGAGACTCCAACTAAAAAAAAAAAAAAATAGAGCAGTGGAAGCCAGCACCTCGTTATTTCACCAAATAGTATTGATCCCCTGTACCATGACCTATGTCAGGCTCTGCCTGGGGACACGGTGACAACAGCCTTGGCTTTGCCCTTCTGGGACTCACAGTCCAGTGGGGGGTGACAGACCAGTCCCCAGTGATAACCCGGGGTGGGCAGGACGGGAATGGAGGTGCTTGATCCAGCCTGGGGGTCATGGAGGACTTCCTGGAGGTGGGGACACAGAGCTGAGACCTGGAAGGTGAGGATTGTGTATGTCTCTTCTCAGGCTCTATGCCATGCCCTACCCTGCCCTTTTGTGTACCTTCTACTGTGTGCAGTGATGAATCAAACCCAACCTCTTATCTCAGACAAACCAAATCAGGAAAGTATAGCACAGTATGACCTTACACAAGTGACTTCACCTCTCTGGGACTTAATGCCCTTATGGGATTTTTTTTTTTTCGAGTTGGGGTCTCACTGTGTCAGCCATAGTAGAGTGCAGTAGCACGCTCACGGTGACCGCAGCCTCAACATGCCAGGCTCAGGTGATCCTTCTACCTCAGCCTTCCAAGTAGCTGGACTTACAGGCACGCATCACCACACTCAGTTAATTTTTAAAAATTTCTTATAGATACAAGGTCTTGCTAAGTTGCCCAGGCTGGTCTCAAACCCCTGAACTCAGGCAACCCTCTTGCCTCCAACTCTCAAAGTGCTGAGATTACAGCTGTAAACCACCACACCCGGCTGGGATTTTCTTTTGAGTCAGGGACTCACTCTGTTGCTCAGGCTGGAGTGCAGTGGCACCATCATCACAGCTCACCGCAACCTTGTCCTCCTAGGCTCAGGTGAACCTTCTACCTCAGCCTCCCAAGTAGCTGGGACTCCAGGCACACACCGCCACACCCTGCTAATTTTTTGATTAGCTGTAGAGAAGAGGTCTTGCTCTGTCACCCAGGATGGTGTCAAGCTCCTGGGCTTAAGCCATCCTCCCGCTTTGGCCTCCCAGAGTGCTGGGATGCATAAGCCTCGGTTTGCAAGGTTCTTATGAAGATTCTTTCCAGCTTATGAAGTTAAAACATTCTCAATACAGGGCAAGTACATGAGGCTCAGTACATTGAAATCACCCTAAGGTACGACCATACCCTCTCCCACTGCCCCACAGTGAAGATCTCAGAGAATGTTCTAGAGCATTTTTATTGGTGCAGGGGGGACCCGGGCATCGCGGAGGGAGCCTTGGGTATGTGAGCTGGGATGTGGGAAACTTTCCGAGTTCCTCCTGGGCTGTGGCCCTCCAGGTGTTCAGGAGTCAATTTTCAGTTTCTCCTTCACTTTCTGGAGTGTCTCTGAAAACCAGTTCCTGTGTGGAGAGATGGGGAGGAGGGTCACTAAGTGCTGGCACTCCCTAGATGCCCAAATTCGCTTACCTGTCTCCCTGATCTTCTGGTTCCTGGCTTTCCATTCCCACTGTCTGTAGGAGTAAGAGGATAGCTGTGCTGGGTGGGCCAACTTCTGTGACCCGGTTTCCCAGATGGACCAGCGCACCTTGAATTCGAAACACCGCCCTGGCCTGGCTTTCAAGGCCTGTCATCTCTTGCGACCACCCCTTTTGTTCCAAGCCTGCTCTTGACCTACCTGTCCCCCTCTCATTCAAGGACACATTCCAGCCTCCCTGCCTCTGCCCAAGTTGTTCCCCTTGTCTGGAAGGCCACACTCCCTAGATCCCTGCCTCAGGGTCTTTGCCTCTTCCTCCATAGAGGACATTTTCCCCAGGTTTAGGCCTGGCTGGATTTTCCACATTATTCAGATCTCAATTTAAAGTGTCACCTATCAGCCGGGCTCGGTGGCTCAGCCTGTAATCCCACGCCTTTGGGAGGCTGAGGTGAGTGGATTGCCTGAGCCCGCGG